CCTGTTGTATCGGGTCATGAACAGTCTACCAGGCGAGTCCCCTGCTACTAGAAAGTGTCCCTCATGATATCCAGCAGAAGTGACCACTTGTGGTGATTGGAGAAAGACCAGCTGAGGCGATCCACCAGCTTGTTCTGTGCTCCTGGTAGGAAGGAAGCCTCAAAATGAATCAAACAGGCTCTGCAAAATTCCCACAGCCAAACTACCTCTTGACTTAGGGAGGGGCTTGCTTCCCCGCGCACCATTTGTTGATATAGAACATGGTTGTCGTGTTGTGAGAACCAAGACATTCTTGCTCACAAGATGAGCTAGGAACAGCCGACATGCCAGATGGACTGTCCTGAACTCTGATGCTGATGTGCAGAGAGAGCTCTTCCTGAGACCAAAGGCCACAGGTGAGCTCCCCAGCCTAGTGCTGACACATCAGAGACCAGAGAAAGTTACAGCTGGGGCCAAGAAAACAGGGATGCCTGCACAAATCACCAGTGGATCTAGCCACCAGTTGAGGGAGGCAAGAACTGGGGGAGGAATCATGAGGATTGAGTCCAGATGGTGGCGGTTTGGAGAGTATACTGAGACCAGCCATGTCTGGAGAAGCCTGAGCTGTAGTCTTGCATACTGGACCACATAAGTACATGAGTAGGGCCCTACCAAATTCATGGTCCATTTTGGTCAATTTCAGTTATAGGATTTTAAAAATCCTACATTTCAGTTTCAGATACTTAAATCTGAAATTTCACGGTGTTGTAACCATGGGGGTCCTGACCCAACATGGAGTTGTGGGGGTGGATGGTGTGGGATTGCAAGGCTATTGTAGAGGGGTCACTGTACTGCCACCTTTACTTCTGTGCTGCTGCCTTCAGAGCTGGACTTTGAATCGGCAACTGCGGAGCTTCCTCTGGCTCGGGGGAGGTTCCTGGAGCGGGGTCTGACCCGGCCTCAGGAGTGGCCCGGGCGGAGGAAGAGTAAGTCCTGTCCATGACTAGCAGCTGCAGCCCAGTACACAGTAGGAGCCCCCAGACGGGTGCCCTCAGCCTGCCCCTCCCTGACATCAGGCTCAGCACCTGGGAGTTTAAGGGGCCTTGGGCAGGTTGTGTGTGTGGGGGGGAGGGGGGGGAGGAGAAGGTGACCACAGCACCCCTCTGGCCACGGAGTCCTGGATGGTCGCTCACTTGCCCACCTGTAAGGCCGGCCCTGACCTCCCATGCCCAAAATTGATGACCCCCCTGGCCCCATACCAGGTCATCCTCATTTCTGCGCTGATGATGGTAGCAGCACTGCCAGGCAGCAGCCGTCGCTCTCCAGCTGCCCAACTCTGTGAAATCTGGTCTCCTCTATGATAGCCAGATTTCACAGGGGAGATCAGATTTCACGGTCCATGACGTGTTTTTCATGGCTGTGAATTTGGTTGGGTCCTATACATGAGGCCATGGGCCCAGCAGCCTCAGGCAAGATTGGGCTGTGGTAACACCAGGTGCTCTTTGAGGTGTGCTATAAGACCAGTAATTGCCTGGAAATGACCTTCCGGGAGGAAGACCCTGGCCTAGGCAGAGTCGAGCATCGCTCCAATAAACTCTACCTCTGCAGTGGTATGACAATTAGCAGGCCTAAGGCTTGGAAAGAGGACTGAATAAGAAGGATGCTGAGCTCTGGACCAACCTTTGATCAGCCAGTCATCCAGATGCGGGTAAAGTTGCACCCCTTACCTCCTTGGGAAGGCCCTCACTACAGCTATGTACTTTGTAAACACTCCTGGGGCTGCCAATAGGCCAAACAGGAGGACTGAAAACTGGTAGTGCATGTGGCCCACAACAAATCTGAGGAACTTCCTGTGTCCTCAGACGATTGTGATATGAAAGTAAGTGTGTCTTAAATCGAGGGTGATGTATTTGTCCCCAGGACCAAGGAGGAAATGATGGAAGCCAGTGAGACCTGTGGAACTTTAGCTTCTTGAGGTAGCTATTGAGCTGGCACATGCCTAGAATAGAGTAGAACCCATAGCGCCCCATAGGTTCTGTGAAACCTCTTCTACAGCGCCAACCCTTAGGAGGGGCTGAACCTCCTGGGCTAGGAGTTGCTCATGAGAAGGGTCCCTAAAGGGATGGAGGGGAAGGATGTAAGGGAGGGTAGAACTGAACTGGGGCGGGGGGGTATATCCCACTTCAACCATGCTCAGCACCCAACAATCCATGGTAATACAGAACCATACCCGGAGGAAGTGGAACAGGCGGCCCGCAAACACGGGGGAAATAGGATCCTGGAACTCAGACTGGTACAACATCCTTGAGGGTCCCATCAAAAGGCCTGCTTGGAGCCCCATGAAATGTCTGGGAGGAGCAAGCATTGATCCTGAGGAAGAGGGGACAGAGGTCTGCATCTAAAGCCCTATTCCTCTTCCTCTCTGGGTCCTGTTGGGTTGACAGAGGGAAGTACCGGGAGGATTGCGGAGGCCTACAGTGCTTCCTTGAAGTCACTGTGGAATACAAATCCAGGGACTTTAGGGTTGCCATAGAGTCTTTCAGACCAGTCTGCTCTGAGACGAGCGAAGCACCCTAAAAAGGACAGGCTCTGAAGGGTTTGTTGAACCTCCTGCCGGAGGCCAGAGGATTGGAGCCACGAGCTCCACTGCAGAACCACGGACCTAGTGGCCAAATCAGCTGCATCCAGGGCCGCTGCATTCCAGTCTGGCCTCATGCAGGAGTGAGTCCTGAAACATTGACATGGAGTCCCATGTATTGAAGTCATATCTGCTCAGGAGCGCAGGCTGGTTAGCAATCTTGAGCTGCAGACTCCCAGTCGTGACCTTTCTACCAAAATGGTCCAGCTTTTTTCAGTCCTTAGCTTTGGGAGTCGCCCCTTGCGACCACTGTCGTTCCCGTTCGTTGACTGCAGTGACCACCAGGGATCCGGGGGGTTGGGGTGGGGAAGCGTATACAAGAACTCATATCAATGAGCCAGGACAAAGTACCTCTTTTCAGTCTGCGGTACCACTTTCCTGGTACTTGGCACAAGCCTTGGTTCTGGAATCTGGATCGGGGATTACCCGAAGGGGTGGTGGAACCCTTCCTTCCGAGGCCATCAAGTAGGAGCGCCTCAACTGGGGTCCCTGCATTGGGGGGGAAATGCCCACGGGTTCCAAAACAGCCACTGCATAGGCACTAGCCAGTGACCAGGGGCCCGAGTACCAGAAGGCATCACCTGGCTCAGGTCCACTGCCAGGTAGGACCAACAGGAGGAGTGCCAGGGTTGACTCCTGGCACAGGAGGCGTAAGATCCCACCTCCGACTGACTATGAGGAGTCTGCCTGGCGACCATGGCAGAGCGGATCCCACTGTGGCTGCTGATGGATGCAGAGAAGGGGAGGACCGAGATGGGGCCATCATGGTTGACTTCCCTTTAGGTGGCACCTGGCACCATCTATCTCAGTACCCAACCGTAAGCGGTGGCTGTGCATTCTCTTCTGTATGCTGGCACTGACCCCACCAACTCTTGTACTGCTGGTGAGGGTGACACCGAGAGTGAGAGCAGGTCCCTGGCTACAGCAAAAGTCTGTGGTGTGGATGGCATCACAATAGCGCCAGCACTGCGCTGAACCTCTGGTGTCAACGGATCATCCAGTACTGGATTTAATGGTGCCCGCCTTGGAGCTGGAGTCAACAGCAACGACTGTTGGGCTGCCAGAACCAGGGAGTGGCCTGACCTAGGTTGCACTCTGCACTGGTCTCTATGCCTGGCTGTCCTCTGGGTTGGGGGACGTCCTCCCTCGGTTGGCAGCTTCTTTCTTTCTCTCTCTTCTTGCTTGGTACCAGGGATGGCGAACAGTGCTGAGACTCCTGGGCGGCACGAGAAGCGCTCCTCACAGAAGCTGAGGTGCTTGGTGTTGAGTCCGACTGGCATGGGTCCAAGGAAGTTCACAGCGCTGCCTTCATCAACAGGGACTTCAGCCCCTCCTCTGCAAATTTTGAAGTGATGCCCTGTTTGAGCTTCACCCAAGCACTTCAGGCAACTGGAGTGTAGATCGCTCAGGGGCATAGCCTTGTTGCAAGAAGCACAAGGCTTGAAGCCCAGCAACAGAGGAAACTCCGCTAAACTGAAAAGAATATCTAACAGCTAACAACCAACAGAGTAAGAATGATACTAATGGCAATACAGTTCAGAGAGAACTTGCAAGAGCAAGGGGAACAGTTCCAGCGACCATCACAGGTGATAAGAAGGAACTGAGGCGACGTGGGGTCAGCTGGCCACTTTATGGTGTCGCTGAGCACCAGAGGGACCAGACCTGATGGATACCACTGAGAGAAAAATTTCTGGTGATTGTGCTCTGGGTCTGCACACACCTACATTGGAATGGACATGTGCAATCACTTGAACCCATAACCTAAGCCTCATTTTCTTTTACTGTTACAATGTACTTTATACCCAAAGCAGAAAATATTTTCTACACTATAATCATAACTGTTCTACCCATAAAAAGGTCTGCCAGGAAATCTGCCACCATCAACATTAAATATTCTAGTGGGATTTAGGACTCAACAGCATTAATGTAGATAACAAAAGCAAGAGGTTTTGTAATAGCTTTCAAGAAAAACAAATTATAATCCTACTACTTTATTTTGAGATTCTATGTACATGAATCTAAAAATCTTTACATGTGCTTGATCAGCATAAGCCACTTACAAAAATATGGGCCAGTCAAATATTATTGTTATTCTCAATCATATGGGAGATCTCTTATCAAAATGTTCTGGGTCCCCAAGAATGTACTGCATGTAAAATGTGTAGCACCATGATCCAGCATCAAGGCAGGCAAGACCAACCAGGCTTCCCCTGGAACTCTCATAAAGGAGCAGGGGATTGCCTACAAGGAGGATTTTTGGGGGTAATTTCAAGTAATGTCTCTGAAAAATTCTTCCAAGTTTAAAAAAAAAACCAAACTATGCAGAAAATATTTTGTATGGTTTATAACAAAATAGATAAACATTCAGAACTAGAAACAATACCTCCATGGTGATGTGACAGACTTCCTCCATTGGCGAGGATTTCCTCTCTAGCAGCTGTCTAAATTGAAGAAAACATTAAAAAATGTTAATTAAATGCAAAGTTTGGTACATTATATGATTCTGACAAGTATTATATACTAATTATTAATATACGGTACACATAAGAGTGTATTTTCCTGTTAAACTTAATCCACTTTTCCCCTAATTGGAAAAAGGCACTTGTATTCCAGAATAAGAATATCCACATGGGGGTTTATACAATAAAGCTATTCTGGAATTATTTATTTTACATATTCTGGAATAGCTATACTGGTGATAAACTGAGGTATATTATGATAAATCTCCAAGTCTAGACAAGATTTTACAGTCTTTGTATTATTCTCTACAGCTCAGCAACCGGAATGCAATTTTACTGTTAGAGCAGAAAGATATATTATCTGGTAGTGGAAAATAGGAATACTAATAGATGGGAAGAAAACTCCAAGGCTAGGAAGGCGTCCTGCAAACGGTGCTAAATAAGATCACAGTGCCTCCCTGCATGAGAAGCCAAGGAGCCAATTATCAGAGCCATAATATACTACGTTAAGTCCTGTTAATCATATTGGATTTAGCACTTAAGATAAAAAATGAAGTTATTCATATGTACATTACCTCAATTTGTTCATAGACATGAATAGGGTCACTAATTCCCCTGTAGTTAAAGGCAAAATAGAAATAGACACATGCACCTGCGTCGTAAGTCTGTGTCACCCTGTTGAAGAAAAAAATGTGTTATAAGTAGTACTACACTGTCTTATAAGCTACCCAGCATTTAACACTAGCTGATTCACAATATTACTCTAGATCTCACTAATTCCTATGTTAATTATTGAACAATGCTTTGTCTCATTTTTATATTTTTATTTTGAAGAATCTGGATCTATTAAACTACCTTTGCCACCTCTGCCAAACAGATGGATGAGAAGGCATGAGGGAAAAGTTTACACTGTAGTTTTAACCACTATTTCTAATTACATTCAATTTCCTCCCCTCGCCCCCCCGCCTTTTAAGCCAAAACACCAAAAATTTCTGTTGAGAAATTTACAATGCTTAATTTTGGCATTTTCACAGCACTTGCAGCAGTTCTTATATAACAATAAGAAGAGTTATTGGGTTCCTAGTTGGTGATGGCATTATGTTGGTACACAAGCATCAAATATGGCATGCCAATTTTTGCTTGTAAACAGAAGACACGAATAAAAATACATGTGGCTAGAAACAAGTTTGTAGCCTGAAGAGTTAGGTTTCATCTCCTTTTCGTCAGGACAGATAACTCTGTGCATCAACTAGCAACTGAAATTCATCTAGTGACCTTAGCATTTATGCACTTAGGAAAAAAATAGCAAGTGGACACTGCTAGATCCAAAATGGACAAAATCAACAGAATCAAGAAGAGCACATACTTTCCACAAAATTGAATGAAGGGCATCACTGAAATATCACATTCTCGGTAACGAATGAATGGTCAAAAAACGTAGTTTATACCGCATCTCCACTTAACTCATGGTATTCATCTAATATACAAATTAGGAAAGCACTTAAGTAACAAATATGTCAAAGATCAAGGATATGGATCTGGTTAAGGAGGATTTAATGTCCCTAGGTCAAGAATCTTTGATTAATTTGATTAATTAAGAATCTTTTGTTTTCAATTAAAGCCAGATAAAGTTCCAACAAACTATATTATAGCAAGCATGACATGAATTCAGAGGAAATACTACTTAAACCATAAGACATAAATCAAGCACTATGATGGTGCGTCTAAAATTGCAAGTGTACATAGTTACATGTGTATTGTTGTGCCATTACCCCTCCTACCGTCCTGAAGCAGTTCCTGAGGGACAGTCTAGTGTGAGAAAGCTAGCATGCAATGAGGAGTGTGGGTATGTACATACCTCCGCTGTGGCATGGCTTTGTTCCTGTTGTACAGTGCAGCGTGGACGGGGGCAAGGAGCGCATAGCAGGTCACAGGTATTGATAGCCCTCCAGGCCCATTTCCACAATGCACTGATCGCTTTGCTGCCTGACCCTTACCCAAAATTATAAAAGGTCTCTGACTCGCTGTTGCCAGAGGTACTAGCAACATTCATTGAGCACTTTCAATTCTCCTTTGAACTATACTGATTAGCACCAGTGATCACGGAGCATATTCCAAAAGCTGCCACCTGGTCTTGAGAGCACATCTGGGTGCTGAACACCGCGTGTTCAGAGTACACTATCCTCCATGACTTCACAAGTACCAGCAGGAACATTCACCTCTACCGGGAGGTTTCACGGAGGCTGGAGAAGGCAGGCATTCACTGGACTCCGTCCCAGTGCCAGGAGTGCATGAAGGACCTCAGGCTCCTGTATCAGAGAGTGACTGACTGTTGCTCGGGGAGAGGACCGCATATGCTCTTGCTTTGAGGAACTGGACCAAGTGCTCTTCAGGGCTGCAAGTACTGAGCCAGAATTCAGTCATGAACACTGCCAACCACATTATACAATGGGACACCGCTGAGGGGCAGAGCACGGAAGCAGCAGGAACCACAGAGGAAGCTCCGGGAGACCTAGAGGAAGAGGAGCAAGTCACTCTGCATCTTTACTCAGGTGACTCAGCTACAGAAGCCCACCCTGAAGAGGACCCATGCAAAAGCAGGAACCAGAAACCAAGACTGATGAGTTACAATACACCCTCACTCTGCCCAAAAATATTCCCCCGCTTGCTTCAATAATACATTCCTGAAACCAGTCCCTCACCACATTCCACCCATGCTCCATTCCAGCATGGTCCCTGAGCAAGACAGGGCTGTAAATGATTTTATTGAAATCCCATGAACCACCATAAGGCATTTAGCATAAGCGATAACAGAATATTAATGAGCCATCAATGTGCTTGTGTCTTCCTTCTCTTTACAAATGGGAGCCACATGGAAGGGGGTTGGTGGGGCCACTTAAGTCCAGGAATGGAAAGGGAAAAATTTGTCTGAAGAAAGTCAGAGCAGTCTATTCACTCCGTGACCATTTCAAATGTTTTGTACCATTCCCGGTACTCGGCATCTGTCCTGTCCCCACGCTGAGCCATTCTGCAGAAGCGGGGGTGACGAACCATCCACTCTAAGGGCTCCACAAACATCATCCTGTGTCCCTTAGCAGTGGAGAGGCAACTGGCTTGCGGTGTTAATCCAAAAGTTCAGGGAAGAAAATAAAATTTGTGGTGCTACTCAGTTTCCGTCCCTTTCAATGCTGCTTGCTGGACAAGGGGGCCAGAGTTTCTGTCAATGCAAGAGAGAGTTGGGGGGCATTTGTGATTCTCTGTTCCTCTTCCATGGAAATTCTGTCTGCTAGCTTAGAATAGTTTAGTTAATTTCCTTTCAAAATTGCCATCCAGTCGTGTAAGCAAAATTTAGCAAATCTTTTGTATAGCAGGAATTCAAGCTGATTCTTTAACCAGCAGGGCAAATGTGGTTGGTCCATCTTCAAAAGTTAACCAAACCTCTCCACTCAGCAATATGTAGCAGAGTCACCATTAGCAGAAACATCTTTCTGGCACAGGTGGCTGGGTGTCCTCCACAGAGCTGGAAGGCCACTTCTTTTTTCCATTCATAGCAAAACTGCTACGTTCTCCAAACGATGGCCAGCCTTTAAAGAAGAAAAAGGTGACTGGTAATGTTACCTTTAAAGGAACCAAACCCTACCCCAGGTGGTCCATTGAGGCACTGCACACATTAAAACATTTTTAATAAAAGTAATGCAAGTATCTTACCATTTGTATCCTCAGCTCTCTCCTCATGGGCAGCAAAAGCAGTCTGAAGGAAGGAGTCTAAGCATTCCTGGGATGCTAAAAAGTATCAATATTGGGGCCTTCAGCAGCATAGTTACTTTGTGCTTGGGGATTTCTTAGGTTTCTTCAAAGAAGAAATGAAATATTATGCCAGCCTTGTGTTTAACTTGGCAGGACATTCCGATGCTGACAGGGAACCCATTCAGCCAGGAGAGGCACCACAGAGACAGCAGAAGATGACACTGAAGGACTCTGGAGGACCTGCTTGTTGGCACAGACAGAAGGAATCAAGAGCAGTTGGGCTTCCTTAGGACAAGGGAGGACTGGACTCTGAGGCAGGATGAGCCATTCCTGCAAACGGACAGACAACACAGGCAATGGAAGCATGCAAAAAGGGAAGGGGATCATGCACTCACCTACTCCAAATGGTGGCAGAATGTTTTCAGAGCCTGCCCTGTGCTATTCCTCTTCCAGAGCAGGCACCCCCCCCCCCTTCCACTACTCTTCCTCCGGCTGCTGCAGTCATAGATCCCCTCCGCTGCTCCCCACTGCTAGGGAGGAATATGCTCAACACCAGGAACAACATGCTCTGCCGACACCACTTGCAGAGGAACCCTCCCAGAGCATGGAGAATGGAGAAGAGCCTCATCCTGTCCCTGTAGCCCAGCTTGAGCTCAACTCCCAAACCTCATGCAGAAGACATCCCGTTTGCCCCCTGCACAATAATCTGCAGCCATTCCCTCTCTCAGGGCGAGGGAATGGAGAGAAGACATTTCCACAGACATTAATGTTTGCCCATTTCCCTGGTGGGAATTTTTTTTGTTCAGTTTTTCCTGTTAAAAAAGTTTTAGATCCTATGTTCAATATATGTAAATAAAACTTACTGTGCATTTCACTTGTGTGTGCACCTTGTTTCCGGAGTATGATTAATGTGATACTCCCTAGAGGTTTGGGATGGGGTGGCAAAAGTCTGGTGCCATGGAAATGCAAACAATTTTATCTGTCCCATAAACCCATTCCTCCCCTGCCTATGAATTTGCCGATTTTTTAAAAAGGGGGTTCTTGACAATGAAGTAAGCCGTGAAATAACTGTTGCCATCCAAAGAAAAACAGAGCAGAATTTCACTGAAATATCTTTATGACTTTGTTAATAAGTGACAATATAGAGGAAAGAAACAAAAGTAAAACAACACTGAAGATATCGGACACTGAGGGTGCTTTTATCACCCCCACTCCACCTGACCATTACCATTGGCAACCATGGGAGTGCTCATGCATAGCACTTGATAAGTGCTATGAGCAACCCTGCCAGAAAACATTGTGAGGAAGGAATGTGTAAATTCCCTCCCAAAACTTTAGATTTTTTAAAAATTACTTTAATAATGCCTAAATGGGGTCAAGTTGCCTGTACAAGCTTGGGGAAGTAGTTCTGTCCTGTGCACACTTGCTGTAGAAGTATTCCCCTTTAACCTCACATGAAATATACAAAGCACTGCACGCCACTATAATCTGATTTGCATTAACCACATTGCCATCCAGACGGGACAGAGGCATCATCAGTGGGATTTGAGACACTCAAAGGCACAGTAAACCACCATTCTGTAGCTACTCAGTCTGTAGTTGAATTTCCTTTTACTTGGGTTGGCAATGTTGGGGTAAGGCTTCACGAACTCTGGCAGGAGAGAACATGCAGGGTCCCCGCCACAGTTGTGTCATCTTGGGGGAATAAAGTCCCTTCTTCCACCCATCAACCTCCAACTTCTTGAGCACCCTGGCATCGCGAACCAACCCCTGTGGACCACTAAGCCCTGAAGAACCAGTGAAATGGTAACCTTTGCAGTTCATCTATTCATTGGCCCCTTTCGGTGGGCTAAGTATAGGGATGTGTGTTCCGTTGATGGCTCCAGCGTAGTTCAGAAAACCCATCCTCTGAAATTCTGCTATCATTTCAGGGACTTCGGTTATGGCAACCATCTGTTGGTAGATCTCAGTATCGATATCCTCACAAATCTGTACAACCACCGCCCTGACAGTTGGCTTTCCAACCCTGAGCTGGTTTGCAACTGAGAGGCAGCTGTTGGATGTTTGCAGCTTCCACTTCTGTATCAGTATGGGTTTCTGAAAATGAGTGGTCTAGCACTGGAGGGCTGGTGCAAGCTCTTTGCACAACTGGATTAAGGTCTGTTTCCTCATTCCAAAATTCTGCAACTATGGTTGTCATCCCAGGTTTCCAAGATGATTTTCCAGGACAAGAAGCAGCAGTCCAGCCTGGGCATACTGTTGTGGTCCTGGCATCCAAAACAGATGTTCCATGGGATCCAAGTGGATTTTCATTCCCCCTCTGGGTCAGCCATTTTCACCATCTGAAATCTCTCCACACCAATTCCATCCAGTATCTGGTACTGCGCTGCACGAACATTTGTCCAGCAAGCTATAGCAAGAACAGATCATCCTCATTATGGATGTGCTCCATGTCTCCAATGCAGTTTGGCAGAAGGGAGAGCTGACATGGAGCTGACATCGTCAAACGTGTGAAGGCAGCGTACAGTTCCAGCAACATGCAGCAAGGCACTTTCTAGAGTGTCTCTTGTGATGCACAAGATTCTGGGATATTGCCCCAAAATGTCATGTACCACTAATGTCATGTACCAAAAAGGTGCAGTGTGGATGAAGGACTATGCCAGTGCACAGCATATAGCCATGCTCAGCACAGCATATGTGAACACTCAGTGCAGGTATGGGATACACACTTTAACAGTTCATGGACAAGTAACTGTGTACACTTGCAAGTGTTGACATAGACTAAATGTTTAATGTTGGACAAAGAAGGTCATGGTCTCAGCCCCAACGAGGTCATAATCTAAACTGGACAATACAATTAAGAGTCATTAATGACAGGAATTGGAAGGCCCACTCTCCAAGTACTGCAGATGTATAACTAAGCTTCTCTGACGGGTTATCGCTGTAGATGCTTTGTAAAAGGATTGTATTATCGAGGGATCTGCATGAAAAGATACTGAATGGTATCCTAGGAGAGGCATACTGCTCCAAGCATAATGGCAGCACTGGAAAAGTAGGGTAACGATGCTTGGAGGAACGTTTGGCCAGATAAGGAAGAAATGAGAAAGATGTAGGTGGGAACCAAGCACATTAATAAAGCTTCTCTCTATCTAGATTATTATGCCCCTCCTCCCGCACGGCATACCTATGAAAAGATGCAAAGACAATTAACTACACCGCTACCTCGATATAACGCGACCTGATATAACACGAATTCGGATATAACGCGGCAAAGCAGTGCTCTGGGGGGGTGGGGCTGCGCACTCCGGTGGATCAAAGCAAGTTCAATATAATGCGGTTTCACCTATAACACGGTAAGATTTTTTGGCTCCCGAGGACAGCGTTATATCGAGGTAGAGGTGTAGTTTCTCAACTTATTTTCCCAAAGGTCATCATATCTCATGAACACTGGGCCCATCCCATGAGTGATGGAATGTAATTAACTTATTATCTAGTTACTGAAATTAGGGTTGTAACAATACAGTAAAAACAGATTCCTGTATGTGTAATTCACAAGGTGCAAAAAAGAGGGGCTATATAAAAAACTGAGAAAATCTTGCTTTTTAAACATCCACGTACAGGTAAATACTGGAGGCTGTCTTAACTGAGAACATTTACAGAAAAATCACCTGTGCTAACAGAAGGTCAGTGGAATCAACATTAGTACCTCTGGGAACCCTACTGAAGACAATACTCCCACAGACAAACCCATTTCAATTAGCTCTGTTGAAAGTTTAATAAAAATGGTTGAAAAAAACAGGTCTAACCACGGGAGCATTGCATTCCTTTGTCATATTCCATGGGGAATTAACAGTTATGAATTGTCCATGGTAACTATAGAGAGATGGTTGATATGGCTATCAGAGTGCTACACAACATAGCCCTTTATTTCTAGCCCCTTGATATTCTCAGGTTACTAGCATTTTAGAGATGATAGCAGTATTTTATGCAGGTCATTAGTGTTCTAACACTAAGCGTAGGCTGCATCACTTGCAGTTATTCACTTAAAAAATATAATCTGTTTTACGTCACTTCATTAAAACCAGTTGAGACAAAGGATTTAGCCGAACAGTTCGAGTTAACATTTCCCCTTAGAGAAAATGTTTCTCAGTTTTAAATACCTATTTTGGTAGCTTGCTATAATTTTGAATTTTAATTCAATGAACAAGAAGTTAATTTACATTTGTTTTCTCACACTATTTAAATTCATTTCTTACAACTAGTCTTAAAAATTTTGACCTGTCTTCTACTCATTCTTCATGTCAACCAATCCTATGACTGTTAGAGAGTTTAAGGGCTCAAATCTATCTTGTTATACTTAGCTGCCTAATGGATATACAGAAAATAAATGTCAGAATACTAACCAAGTGCCACTATAAACTCTTGAAGTGATAACTAGTGAATAGGTTAGAGAGCAAGATCATTAGTGGATGCACTTTAAACTGTGCCACTTAACTTAACCTGCCACTAGTTTAGCCATTATCTATTGTGTATGGAAGTAAGTAGTAGTAAAATTTACTTCAGCTGCTGAAAAACACATCCCAGAACTATGAAAACAAAGTTGATGTGCATCTCACCTGCAGGTGGAAAACGGAGCAAACTGGACACCTTTTTCTTTGCATTCTCTCACTATTCTTTCCTTTACATTCCTGCAGAGGTCTATAACCCTGTAACAGAATATATAGTTTAAAAACATAAAACAAAATTAAAAAAATTTCCTATGCAGCATTCTATACACTAATTTGTCTTCAACTAGCAATATTCCTTTTTTATTACATTTATGGCTCTAGTTTAAAACTCGCATACAACTACAACGATCTTCCTCACTAGTCCAAAACAATACACTTTAATAATCACAGTTTGGGTTTGGTTTCATTTAAATAAAAAGCGTAAGAAAAAAAATGCCCATCAGACCTCTATAAAAATAATGCTATTCCTCTTCTGGGCATCTATTGGGTGACGAGTTTATAATTTTGATTGTACATGCTAGCTCCTGAGACTCTGTATTGTTTTTTCAGAGGGCATATAAGAGGACTGTACTATCAGTGAAGAGGAATGTGTTGGATATTTTCTTCTGATCTGCAGTGGGACAAAGGTGTTTGGCACGGTAACTTAGAAAACAATTCAAAATAGAAGCATGTACATGTACACTAAAAGCATGTACACTATGCAATACTACAGCCTTTTGATATGTTGCAAGGCTGAGAAAGAAGGGATTCCTCCAGATGTTGAAGATGTGTATTAATTTACCAGCTAGAATCTTATTAAAATTATAATTTGGCACGAAACTATTAAAATAAGTCATAAAACCAGTGATATTTAATTCTACTTAATTTTATTATTGCATTTCTCTGGGACTGATCCAGGTGCATTCAAAACTTTGAAACACAATTTGAAAGGTGGGTTTTTTCATTTAATTTAAATCACTCCAGGTAGGCTCTCTCACACAGAACTAGAGAGATGCTATTTAACAATTGTTTAATTTAGAAGTTTTATACAGATCTGTATTTGGAAAAAAATATTTGGATTTGGAGGGAGGAACGTTTGAAATTAAAATAATTTTGCTCAAAATGTCTTCTATCAGCTAATCTACAGTGTGACCCTGGTAGAGACTCTGAAGGAAGGTACAGGTCCCAATGCCAAAACTGGAAATAAGGAGTTAGTAAGTGAGCAGAATGAGTGAAAAATAGGTTTGAATCAACAGATGTAAAAACCTGTTCACTCTGCTCTGCTCACAAAACTATAAAGGGGAAAATGAGAAAATTAATTCAGTGAATTTTCACTAGCTGAAAATTACATTTCTGTAAGGGAGATATAAATAACTAAATTTCAGTTGTTTTAAAATCTTTCATGCCACCCACACATTTTAGAGAAGGAAACAGCAGCCCCTAAAACAAGGACTGAAACAGTGTTATAACCGCTGCTAAATCCAAGAACCAGGATGCTGGGTTTGTTGGGATTCTGAACATACACAAGTCATTTAAAACCTAATTTCCTATCAACTCTATAATCATAAGCGATCAGGGGACCAAAACTGATAAGAATCTGTTTAACATGTGGGGTAAACAGGAATTAAAAAAAAGAAAATGTACAGAACAAATAGGTCAAATTCTGGAGCTCTCAACTGCTATGTAACCTATTTAAATATGTTTAGGCCTTGATTCTCAGCTGTGGCTGAGAGCTTAGGTGAAGCTTAGAACAGAGAGATAATACTGTGGGCATCTGCACTGAGCTAGACCCCTGATGTAAATGCAATTTGAATCAGCTGCCCAAGGGGATATCTGGCAGCCAAGGATCAGCAGGATCTAAGGACATCTTAGCCATGCTCCCTGGTTGGGCTGTAGGGAAGGGTGGTCTCCCCTGGGCTGGGGAACTCCAGCTAGTCAAACTGGCTTCAAAGCCATTTTGCGCTGCCCCATTGCAAGGGAAAAGCTGGTATATAAACCTTAAACCACATGATTGTTTAAGATTAGGTAATACAAAATGAAGCCTACTTCCTTCCCCTGCTGGCTAGCTCACTTCTCTGAAAGCATCTTACTCACAATTCTGTCCCTGCTAAGCCAAGTACAGCTTTAGAAAAGCAGCAAGCAAGGAGAGCTGCTGAGCACCTGCCTGCCACAGAGTGGCTGAGATAGCAGTTTTTCATGCTGGTTTTAAAATGCAGGACATGTCCTCTCCAAATCTGGACTACCACCAGATATGCTGGCACTTTTCCACCACTCCCACCAAAGGGATCCATGCAGAGAGCAAGGTTTCATGATGCCTTAGATCAACATATCTCATGTGCTCCTGTGGGAGCAGAGAAGAGGCATATACAAGGATGGCTATTCAAAGAGAACCAATAGAGAAGTCAGGCAGCCGAGAAAGAGTAAGCTACCACTTTGCTGATCAACTTCAGCCTCCGCTAAGAATTGCTTCTGCAGTAAAGGCAGATGCACAGCTGGTACTGTTGTATTGTACCATACCACAGCCCCAGAAGAGATCTTACATCCACAGGAAGGGAGCTCACCCAACAAGTTGGGAAACATTTAACTCCTTCAGGAATTCTTCACAACACTACATAGTTTTAATAATTTAAACTGTAAAATCATCAAGTGTTATCAGCTCATTCACTCAACCTCTTAAGAATGGCCCTGCTACTGGTTCCTGTGGCACCTGAAATTAACTTTTCTGCATAAAAACTGTCCATTTATGTTCATTCTTTATCTTTTAATGATTGGTTTTTAGATCCATAATGGGACTTTCCTTCCACAAAAGCCTAAATTTACTTGTTAATCAGAGGCAGAAAATACTTAACACAAAATTTTCCAAAAGTCTGCAAAAGATTACATCTACCAGTTTTCTATTTTACAGTCTACTTTGATACATCTGTTATCTATTTTGATTTAAGAATGAACTTCAAAAGAAGAAAGTCTCTTATGTTTGATTTTTCAAAGAACAGTTTAAAGACCAGAATTGTCACCTTGCAGACCCACAATAAAAAAAGTTACAATCCTAAGCAAGCAACATAGGCATATTGTAAAATATTTATTCTGCATGGAATGGTTATGTATATGAAGTTTGCAATAGAATATGGCTCTGCTTCTACATTTTACTTTTAACGTTTCATTAATTTTTCAAGCCCAGTGCCACTTCTAATTCAACAATACCAAAAGGGACTAGACTTCTGACCACAGAAGTACACAAGCTCACATTAACATAGCTTGGAGTGTCTTCGTGCTTAAGTACATATAATTGTTTATTCTTTACATTTTATGTATACACACTTTCAAATTCCTATCAATATCTAAAACCAAAGAAAAAAATTCTCAAAACCAAACGGAATAAATATCCATTACAAGATAACCAAGTTTTAATAGAAGTTTTGAACAAAAGAATACTACAATTATTTTACCTATCCCAGGGAACAGAAGTCTCAAATGATTCTCCTATTACATAGTAATCCAGGCCCAGGTCCTATTAAAAGCACAAAAAGAAAGGAAAGGACCAGTGAATTAGTGTCCTAATGTACATCTTTAGCTTCAGGATTCCAATTTACTTTAGGCAGCTGCTAGACAGAGAATCATTGTGTTGTGTAATTTTTACATAGAAGACAGATTTGGCAATCTACACTTATAAGATTTACATATCTCAAAAATCAACGAATATCTATACTGGGACCAAAACTAAGTTTTAAATATTAGGAACAATGCTGAAAGGGACTGGGATGCCGAGCTTTTCATTTTTAGACAAATAGTACAAATCTGACCCTAACTGGTAGCTACCAAACACTGTTACCACTGATTCATGTTTAATAATCTATGTTAAACAACCTGGGGGCATTGCTCCTGTCTCTTAGTGAACAAGTATTATATCACAAAAACAAAAACTGCCACTATTCACAAAAGCACACTTCTTGGTTTTGATAGTGAAACTATCACACAAATATATGCATTAGTTTCCTAAAAATGACACCATAAAGAAAAAGCAGTTTACAAACTACAATTTTGCCATAAGCTGAAATATAAAAAAAGCCCCCAAAATTATATGCTAAGTAAAAAGATAGGCTTTTATGTACTCTTTGGAGAGTAAAACAATGAATTCTGAGATAAAACATCATTGCAAACAAACAAGAAACTTTTCACAGTAATAAACCTAATGGCAAAATAACTGAGAAACAAGTAAAATACTTGAGTAATTTTAAAAGAATTTGAATCTAAGTGTGTTGAAAGCCATTAGGATATCTGAAAATAAGTTCACTGGTTCTTCAAATCAGATGTACTGTACAATTTTGAACAGCCTGCATCTGAGACTTTAAGAGACCACAGGATGTAAAGAAAAAATGTGACTAGAGTATAAAAACATAACCAATACAGAGCACTCACTTACAGAATACAAAAATAAATCTGAATCAAGATTCAATGGAAGAAACATGATTTTATTAAATACCATCTTCCCTTTTTGCCCAAGACAAGAAAGTTAGCTTTATCACTACATTCACTTTGTTGCTAAGTGATGTTACCATAGAATCAGACTAACAGTTGGACAACAATTGTCAAGGAAACAGTATTCCTTGTTAGACTCAAATCAATAAAAGTTTAGAGAGAAATCAAGTGGGCCAACTCTATGAGAGAAGGGCCTAGAAGGGAAATTGCCATAAAAATGAGAAAATACTACGGGAGATGAGAAAAAGGGATAGCAATGCCTAGGAGATATACAGTCAGGAAGACTTAGGAGTCATGGTTTAACATGTGGTTTAAAGTCCAAAAAGGCAAAAAACAAAAACAAAAATAACTCACCAAACAAATAAGACAACTCCCAACCTGCCAGTTAGTAAAAAGAAATAATTAACTTCAATAATTAAATTTGAAAAGTGGGATCAAGATTGAAAGTATTACTGAAGAGATATATAGAAAGCCAAGAGAAATATTCTCCAATTAGGTCTTTGAAAAAGGAAGACAGACTAGAAGCAAGAACAACTAGATAAAGAAGTGGGGAAGACAGAAGCAGCCAAACTGTGACTATTCTAAAAGCTTCAGAACATGTACCACCATGAAGATATTCACAACAGCTGTCCTATGGAGGTTAAGAGTTGTTATTGACTGGACAACAAATGTGAGAAGGGGGCTGATTAAGTGCCATTATTCACCACATTATAAACAGAAGAAAGGACAAATGAAAGAATGAACTAAAATGCTGATAAAGTAAAAGTGGACTAAATTCATGTTGATGCAAGTATATATTAACTGTTTGATATAAAAATCGCACATTTTATATTATGCACACCTATAACAACATTATAAAGGTGCTCCTGTTTGCAGAAGGCTTAAGCCTACCATAAAGATTATGGGATACAATATCACAAATGGGAAACAGTGTTACACAGCACAAGTATGTTTGCAATTTTGAAACCATGGCATCATAATGTAGAGGAAAACTCTATTACCAAAATGCTTGTGCAATTTACTAGCCATTTTGTGAAGAAGGCTTAGAGACTGCTAATAATTCTAAATGGAAAACTTGAGAGACACATATTTGAAACTTAGTTTTTTAAATTTCTGAATCGTATTTTAGGCATTTCTACTAGAACTATGGCTGAGTATTTGAACACCAACAATATCTAGTATTCTGTCTAGCTGTATACCTCCATACATATGCACAGCTATACATGTGTATCCAAGGCCGGGTATTGGCTCATCATATTGAATTACTGACAATGTAATAGAAAACACTAGAGGTTTATGAAGTATCCTAATCTTCAAAGATGGAGTGTATCTTGTCTAAGGAGTTCTCTTGTGGCTTATAAAGAAGTTCCCTGCACTGATTCCCGGTCTTGTTCACCGGACCAGAGCTCTATTGAAGATAGGAACTCAACTGCTGGGAAGAGTTCCATGCACTGCTTAAGTGACTCCTTTGGAGAAACGAGGAGTGGCAGTAATAAGCCATGGAGAAAGTCCATCCTGTCGTTCCAGCTGCAAGAATGCTGGCTATAACATGGGATCTTGAAGTCAAGTAGTTTACAGTGGAGGTAATGGGATAGATCCTCCAGGATGCAGATGACTCATTGAGAAATGCAAAGAAAAAAGTGCATATCTATGGTGGAAAGGTCTGCCAAACTACTGGTGTGCATATACATCAAACAATTATTGCTGACTGGTTAGTATTACGGTAGCACCCTGAGGCTCGAACAAAGATTAGGGCCCCATTGTGCTAGGCACCATACAAACAGTCCCTGCCCCTAAGAGCTTACTATTTAAATAGACAAGACAAAGGGTACTAGGAAAGGATGTATTTATCCCCATTTTATAGATGGAGAACCGAAGCACAGAGAAATTAAGTAACTTGCCCAAAGTCATACAAAAAGTCAGAAGCTTGAAAGTGAACATAGTCTCTTGAGTCCCAATCCAAAGACTTAACCACAAAGTGTTCCTTCCTTGCTGAAGAATTGCCTTTTAAACACCCTTAAGTCCTATAATTAAAAACAGCATTGAGTACTGAGTTTGTAGATGGGAGCCAGGAACTCCTGGGTGCTAATCCTACTTTTGTCACTTACTCCGTTTGTGACCTGGGGAAAGTCACTTATGGCCTGATTTTCAGAGGTAAACAGCATCTGCATCTCCCAAAAGGTCAGTGGGACACCTGGATGCTTAGCACCTCTAAAGATCAGTCCATTGAGATTTACAATTCAATTTCTTTATCTGTCTGGGAAAAAAAATTTCATAAAAGGGGGTGCAAATTAATGTTTGTACAGTGTTTTAAAAGTGAAAACCACAAATAAATGCCAATTTTATGTACATGCAGTATTGTTGTAGATGTGCTGGTCCCAGAATATTAGAAAGAGAGAGAAGGTGGGTGAGGTAATATCTTTTATTGGACCAACTTCTGTTGGTGAGAGACAAGCTTTCGAGCTTACACATGACTCTTCCTCAAGTCTTGGAAACTAACTCAAAGCATCATTGCAAGGGCGCTACCAAATTCATTGCCATGAAAAACATGTCATGGACCATGAAATCTGGTCTCCCTGCGTGAAATCTGGTCTTTTGTGTGCTTTTACCTATACTATACAGATTTCACAGGGGAAACCAGCGTTTCTCAAATTGGGGGTCCTGACCCAAAAGGGAGTTGCGGGGGAAACGGGGGGGGGGGGGTGTCGTCACAGTATTGCCACCCTTACTTTTGTGCTGCTGCCTTCAGAGCTGAGTGGCCGGAGAGTGGTGGCTGCTGACTGAGGGCCCAGCTCTGCAGGCAAGCAGCGCAGCAGTAAGGGTGGCAATACCATACCATGCCATCCTTACTTCTGTGCTGCTGCTGGCGGTGGCTCTGCCTTCAGAGCTGGGCTCCCAGCCAGCAGCTGCTGCTCTCCAGCTGCCAAGCTCTGAAGGCAAAGCTGCCGCCAGCAGCAGCGCAGAAGTAACGGTAGCAGTACCACAACCCCCTCAACACCTTTTTTTGGGTTAGGACCCCTACAATGACAACACTGACATTTCAGATTTAAATAGCTGAAATAATGAAATTTACAACTTTAAAAATCCTATGACTGTTAAATTGGCCAAAATGGACCGTGAATTTGGTAGGACCCTAGTCATTGCTAAATACAAGGTGGAACACATTTTAAGTAGTTAGCACATTTCAAGGGACCATTTAGGGTGAAGTTTCCCATGAACACACCTACAGTCATAGGGAGGAAAGGAAGGGGGGGACAGGGAACCAACTTTGTGGGGGGGTTGTTAGTGGGTTACAGATTGTTGTAATAAGCCATAAATCCAATGTCTCTATTCGGTCCATGATTTTTAATGTCTACCAAAGTGTAATGAATTTAAACTCACAGGCGCATCTTTTAAAAGTGTTCAGGTTTCCTTTGAGGAAGGGGTCTGAGAGGTCAGATATGGAGTGATTGCTTTGTGAAAAGTGTTCACCCACAGGTGATCTGATGTTTTTGTCTTATGTTCCTGTGTGAATTCATTTGAGCGCGCAGTGATTGTCTGGTTTCATCCCACAATAGTTGCTATTGGGGCATTTAGTGCACTGGATGAGGTCCACTACATGTTGTGATAGGCATGTGTTTAGCAAAACTTTGCCAGACACTAAAAAATCATGGATTTTTACCTTATTTAGCAGTGACACACTGAATTAGTTTCACAGAAGCTGAAGAGCTCTGTATATGCTCGAAAGCTTGTCTCTCTCATCAACAGAAGCTTGTCCAATAAAAGATATTACCTCACCCAACTTCTCTCTAAATTTATGTACATGTAAAAAAGGCATAGCCCTCTAGAGAGAGTTTTGATAATCTTTTCAAGTCTAAAGAAAGTTTGCATAAAGAATTTGAAAAAAAATCTTTATGCTTTCTATATGATTTGTTGGGTAAGGAAATAGCCACACCAGAGCAGCAGAGAATAAGAGTGACCTACCCGAAGGTAAGCGATGACAAATGTCAGCATGTAACCTCTCTGTCCATTATCTTCTCCAGCTGCCAGACCACTGCAATTGATGACAGTTAATTATTAACATGGATCTCAAGTGAACTGTTTTTCACAGCTTTCCAATAAAAATAATAAAATACTTTGGGTCAAGAAATGTATATGCAAATAGATCAGAGAGAACTTCAACTTGAAATGTTTCCAATTTAAACCTGAGTTAAAATTTGTTTCAAGTCACCACACCTAGCAGAAATCCTCCTATTTTTTAAAAACAATGTTTTATCTCCCTGGTTGTTAGAAGGCCCACATGAAAAAGGGGAACTGATAATACAGACTGGGTAAATAGTGAAACTTGCTATACATGGGGTTGTTCCGTACAAAATTAACAACCCGGGTGGGGGTGGAGGGGGGGGAGTATTTCTCAGTGATGCTAGCCAGAGACATTACTTGTAAAAATTGTAGGTAAACTTGCTAGTGTTAAAAATGTGTCTACTATACACTTTTAAATCTATTTTATTTGTAAAACCTGAAATTTCCAATAATTTTGTCTTATTTTAAGTTGGATACAGAATTTGGGTAATCAAGATGATAGTCTAAAAAGTTTAATATTAAAAATTATATTCGTAAACTTAAGACTATCAAAAGGTATGTATCCTTACTATGTGTTTGTACAGGGTCTAGAACAATGGGGCCCAAACCATCATTGGGGCCTCTGGCTGCCACTATAATACAAGTTATTAGTACTACTCATGCAATTGTCATGACTTCCAAATAAGGAGGTTTCAACCTGGAATTAAGGTTGAAAGAGCTGATTAATTCAGGGTAACATGTATTACAGAGATTGTGTAATTATCCCAAAGTCAGGTATTAAAACCCCAGGAATTCAGAGTTAAGATTAAACAAAAGAAACGCAAACATATAGGGAAGTTCACAGTTAGGACACCAGAACTCTGTCTCATAACAATACCATGTAATAAAACATAATTATGATTAGTGTGTACAATAGACTATATTAAGCAGATTTTAAAAGACAATAGTTTTTTTCATTTTTTCCTCTCTTCATGTCACTACAAGGCAGCACTAAAGTTGTTGGATTCCTTCATTGTGCATTTCCACACCTTAACATGTTTGTCTTTTAAATTAAGCTTAAACTCTCGATCTCCTGCATTTTCATAGATTTTAAGGGCAGAAGGAACCATTACATCATCTAGTCTAAATTGTGTTTGACTGAAGTGTATAATCCAGAAAGGCTTCTAGTCTTGATTTGAAGATATCATGAGATGGAGAATCCACCACTGCATTTGGTTGTTTGTTCCAAGTGTCATTCACCCTCACCATTAAAAATCTGTGTCTTATTTCAAATTGCAATTTGTCTGGCTTTAGCTTCCAGCCATTAATTCTGGTTATGCCTTTCTCTGCTAGACTAAAGAGCCATTGGGCACCTAGTATGTTCTCACCACAAAATTAATTATACATTGTAATCAAATAATCTCTCAATCTTCTAGCTGACAAGATTAACAGACGGACCTCTAAATTTCTCACTGTAAGGCATTTTCTCCAACCTTCAAACAGTTTTTGTGGTTCTTTTCTGCATTCATGCCAATATTTCAACATCCTTTTAAAAATGTGGGCACCAGAACTGGACACAGCATTCTAGTGTATGTATCATCAATGCAATATACAAAGGTAAAAACCACCTTCCTACTCCCCTGTTTATACATCCAATTATTTAATTAGCCCTTTTAGCCATAGCATTGCTCTGGGAGCTCTTGTCCATTACAACTCCTAAATCCTTTTCAGAATCACTGCCATCCAGGATGCATTACCCAATTTTGTAAGCAAGGCCTTCCTTCTTTGTTCCTAGATGCAAGACTTCAAATTTGGTTATTTTAAAATACATTTTGTTTGACTGAACCTAGCTTACCTAAGCAATCCAGAACACTCTGTATGACTACCTTGTCCTCATTTATAATGCTTGCGTTTTTTGTTTTTTTTGAATAATTACACCATTACCTTACCTTCAATTTAATATAATTTTATATCGAGGATTTTTTTTTTTTTAAGATTAAAAACTACATACATGAGCAGTTAAAAAATGAAGAGAATGTTACAATGTGGTATTTATAATTATCTGAACACATGTAATATCAGCTTTGAAATCTTTTAGGGCCAGATTAATCAGTATGCTCTGCTAGGTTTACTTCAGTCTGGAGCAGCATAAAAGTCAGTTTCTACCAGCTCCTGTTTCCCCGCTGCATACACAGTTTCCTCCTCACTAACCTACATCCAAACTCCAAGTTTCCTGAGTTTGCTCCTGTCCTCCCCTTCCTTCCTGGTCTCCCTCTTGAATAGATCTGGTGCAATGGATAGATTTGGAAAATAAATATTTAGGATTAATGGTTTTGCCATTCTTCATAACTAAAAGTTTCTTCTCCAACAGGGAATTATGAACAACAATCTTCTACAAAGAATTCCAGTAAGGACTGCCTTCTTGAAAAATGGCTGCCTTCTCTTTTTATCATTAACTTAAACGTACCTAATTTTTAGTAAAAACTGAGCCTCTGCCCTCTGAAAATCAAGCTCCTTTATGTTGTCTCAAGGTGAGCACACAAAAATGGAAGCACCCCATATTATTTGTATTACCATAGTGCCTAGGAGTAGGACCTCATTGTGTTAGCTCTGCACAAACAGAACAAAAAAAAACCCAAAACTGTTCCTGCCCCACAAGTTACTTTTGAAAATATGGGCCTAAGTGTAAGATGTTCCTGATTCCTTTTCAATATTTTCTCACCAGAGGTTTATTAACCCCAACTTCTTTTCTGTATCTGTGCTACAACCACCAGCTTTAAGAACTGAACAAGAAAACCGAGAACGAAACAAGTCATAATACTGAGATGGAGACTAAACAGCTTAAATCTTCATGATTCCATGGACTTTATAGATAAGTAGAAGTTTTTGTTTGTTTTTAATTGTTCTTTGATAGAATCCACGTGTCAAGAGAATATAAAAGTTAACTGTAGTTCCAAAGTTAAGAGGATTGCCATAAAAAGAGGTAAAAATTAAATGAAGTTCAACTTTTCTTAGTAGATTCCACACAGTTCCTAGACAAAAAACACCCTCTAAATCATTCACATTGAAAATAAGAGTTCAGAAAACATTTCCCTCAAAACTACAGGAATGCAGCCAGAAAATCTCAGAACAGCTAGTAAAACTTTAGCCTACTCTCCATATGTTTGATTAGATTAAACTACTAAATTTGGTTTTGCCTCTCCCCTACAGTCAATGGGATGTCTTCCTGAACATTCGCCTTGCTCTTTTCTCAATACACAAAAGGCATTCCATACAAATAGGAATATAAGGTAAGAGTTTGGGACAGGTGAACTTTGCTTTTCTATTAATTTTAAGTTATTTTCCATAAGCAAGATTTATACTTCAGTATATACTTTCTGCAGCCATGTAGTAAAAAGCTCACCAGTGTAAAGTAAAAAAGCAAACACTCTCTCTAAACAGCATCAGTTAGGCCTTGGCTACACTGGTGCTTTACAGTGCTGCAACTTTCTCGCTCAGGGCTGTGAAAAAACACCCCTCTGAGCGCAGCAAGTTACTCCCAGCGCTGTAAGCTAATCCCCTCGGGGAGGTGGAGTACCTGCAGCGCTGAGAGCGCTCTCTCCCAGCGCTGGCGCCGCGACCACACTCGCACTTCAAAGCGCTCCCGCGGCAGCGCTTTGGAGTTTCGAATGTAGCCAAGCCCTTAAAATAAAGATCTCTGCCTATTTGTTGTTCACTTGGAGATTTAGTAAAGTTAGGAAAGTGAGTCTCTAAGCGATCAGATGTGATCAAAACAAATGTTAGTAGCTTAACATTAATATTTCTTTAAGAGATTAATGACTTGATTGGCACATTGCTGAACAGACTATGAAGCGAAAATGAGATTTATATTTTAAACCCTCAATGTAAAAAGGTGAACATTTTCAAGCATCAGGTGCTTGAATCAAACAGCATTTACAGCAAAACCTGTCTCATTACCATCACTGCAATCCCAGCTGAGCCTCCTTGCAGTAGCAGAATTCAAATACAAATAAACTGATAAACACAAATGTCCTCAATCTAGTCAAAACTGTTTCTCATGAGGCTACATACTTTTGCTTCCTTAGATGTGAATGGGACTTAATTCCTGGGGGTTTTTTTCCTAGACAAAAAACTGACAAGATTTAACTGATCTCTTCTCTGCTAATATTGAAATTTTAAGTTGTCATAGTTCTAGGGTTTTTTACATAATACTTCTCAGCTCTGCTAGATCAATCAGTATTTCATGATCAACCTTTCCAGCAGATTTAGTTCAAATTGTTGCATAACTCCCTAGTTTCAGTTTTGTATGAGCCAAAAAAGCTCAAATTCTGATCAGCTAAAAACTACTGGGTTTGACCATTACAAAACTGCTGACTCTTCGTGCTTTTGTAGCTAAATAGCTTAAGCGTAACAAAACAATACTAATTAAACTTGCTAGTTTCAGGAAAACTTCTCTCTGGTATCAAGAAAACAAAGATTCGGCAACAGGTTTATGGGAACCTTTTGACATGTCAAACCTGAGATTCAGAATAAAACTTGGCAATGTTTGAGGTTTTTCAGGTTCTAGTTTTAGACTGAAGATTTCCTCTCAAGAAAATACCATATCTGTGTGTGTTTGGATAAACACAAACAGTGTTTGGTGTTAATAAATTATTATTATAACATTCTTGAATCAGATCATGTTTGTTCTAAGGCTGTCAAGTGGTTAAAAAAATTAATCGTGATTAATTGCACTGCTAAATAATAGAATATCATTATTTAAATATTTTTGGATATTTTCTACATTTTCAAATATATTGATTTAAATTATAACAGAATACAAAATGTACAGTGCTCACTTTATATTTATTTTTATTACAAATATTTGCACTGTAAAAAGCAAAAATTGTATTTTTCAATTCACCTAATACAAGTACTGTAATGTAATCTTTTTATCATGAAAGTTGAACTTACAAATGTAGAATTGTGTACAAAAAAAACTGCATTCAAAAATAAAATAATGTAAAACTTTAGAGCTTACAAATCTACTCAGTCCTACTTCAGTCAATCGCTCAGACAAGCAAGTTTGGTTACAATTTGCAGGAGATAATGCTGCCTGCTTCTTGTTTACAATGTCACCTGAAAGTGAGAACAGGCATTCACATGGCACTGTTGTAGCCGGTGTCGCAAGGTATTTACATGCTAGATGCGCTAAAGATTCATATGTCCCTTCATGCTTCAACTCCCATTCCAAAGGGCATGCATCCATGCTGATGACAGGTTCTGCTCGCTAATGATCCAAAGCAGAATGGACCGACATGTTCATTTTCATCATCTGAGTCACATGCCACCAGCAGAAGGTTGATTTCCTTTTTTGGTGGTTCAGGTTCTGTAATTTCTGCATTGGAGTGTTGCTCTTTTAAGACTTCTGAAAGCATGCTCCACACCTCGTCCCTCTCAGATTTTGGACGAAGCTTCAGATTCTTAAATCTTGTGTTGAGTGCTGTAGCTATCGTGACGATGCACCCCATAATGCTTTATAGAAATATGCTTATGAGTGTAAATATGACATAACTGGAATATGTTTTATGCTAGATATGCCATGTAACATATCTCTGCAAAGGTTATGATCTACTGAGTATATTCATCCTATTTGTATGCATGTATCATTTTTGTATTTGAAGTTACGAATATTGGCTATGTACTTGTTTGATTTTAAGTAGCCTCAGTGAAGCATTTGGTCAGCTTCCTGAGAAGACTATTCTCAGTAAATGCCCAATCAAGAAACACTTAAACTGACAATGAACTCTGAGAGACGCCAATCCACATCTGAGCTTTCCTGGGAATGGGACGTTAGCCTGTAAAAAACGGAGTCATGCATGGACATGTGCCTTGCCCATGTGTCTGCAAAACTCCATCATGTGGAGAGGATTTTACATAGGAGAGGAGAAGGGGTTTCCACCCACAAAAGAGAAAGTCTATTTAAGCCCCTGGAAGCCCCTCCATTTTGGTCTTCAGCTGGCACAAAAGATAGCCTCTCCATCCCAAGGAGATACCTGAAAGAAACTGGAACAAGGGACAATAACTACAGAGTGTGAGCGATTGCTGGACCCAGACTAGGAGGAAGTCTAGTCTGTAAAAGAGGCTTATTGGAACATCTCTGAGGGTGAGATTTACCGGCATTTAGTTTTTACTGTATTAGGCTTAGACTTGCGTGTTTTTGTTTTATTTTCTTGGTAATTTACTTTATTCTGTCTGTTATTACTTGGAACCACTTAAATCCTACTTTTTGTACTTAATAAAATCACTTTTTACTTATTAATTAACCCAGAGTATGTATTAATGCCCGGGGGGGTGGGGAGGGACACAAACAGCTGTGCATCTCTCTCTATCAGTGTTATGGAGGGCGAACAATTTATGCGTTTACCCTGTATAAGCTTTATACAGGGTAAAACGGATTTATTTGGGGTTTGGGACCCCATTGGGAGCTGGGTATCTGAGTGCTGGAGTCAGCAGCACTTCTTAACTGAAAACAGCTTAAGCCTGCAGCTTGTGGGGGGATGTGGTTCAGACTTGGATCTGTGTTGGCAAGGTTCTGAAGTCCCAAGCTGGCAGGGAAAACGGGCTCAGAGGTAGTCCCAGCACATCAGGTGGCAGTCCCTAGGGGGTTTCTGTGATCCAACCTGTCACAGCTATTTTTAGAAATCTCACATGCTACCTTCTTTGCGTTTTGTCAAATTTTCTGTGAAAGTGTTCTTAAAACAAACATGTGCAGGGTCCTCATCCGAGACTGCTATAACATGAACTATATGGCAGAATGCGGGTAAAACAGAGCACGAAACGTATGCAATTCTCCCACAAGGAGTTCAGTCACAAATTTAAATTAACACATTTTTTTTTAACTAGCATCAGCAGCATGGAAGCATGTCCTCTGGAACGGTGGCCGAAGCATGAAGGGGCATATGAATGTTTAGCATATCTGGCACATAAATATTTTGCAACGCCAGCTACAAAAGTGTCATGGGAATGCCTTTTCTCACTTTCAGGTGATGCTGTAAATAAGAAGCAGGCAGCAGTATTTCCCGTAAATGTAAACAAACTTGTTTGTCTTCGCGATTGGCTGACCAAGAAGTAGGACTGAGTGGACTTGTAGGCTCTAAAGTTTTACATTGCTTTGTTTTTGAGTGCAGTTATGTAACAAAACAAAAAACCATCTACATTTGTAAGTTACACTTTCACGATAAAGAGATTGCACTACAGTATTTGTATGAGGTGAACTGAAAAATACTATTTCTTTTGTCATTTTTACAGTGCAAATATTTGTAATAAAAAATAATATAAAGTGAGCACTGTACACTTTGTATTCTGTGTTGTAATAGAAATCAATATATTTGAAAATTAGAAAAACATCCAAAAATATTTACTAAATTTCAATTACTATTCTATTGTTTAACAGTGCTATTAATCACGATTAATTCAAAAAAATTGATTGCGATTAAAAAAAATGAATCGCATGAGTTAATCGACAGCCCTACTTTGTTCATTTTTTGAGTCTTTTTACAAATAATCTCTACCAGCAAATTACTACTATGGAAAAATAACTGAAAAGATGTGGACTGATTAATCACTGGTCTTAATGGTTTTTTTTTTTTAAATGATCTAAATATTTCCTAATTCTGAACTAATTGACTCTCTTCCCAGAGTTCTATTTCCATTTTAAAAATGAAAGTAAACTTCTAAGGAGTATTATTTAAACACATATTTCAGCACATATATTTTTATGTGATGTGACATGATCCAAAATTATGAGAACTCCATCTTAGCTCTTCCACAAAGTTCTGAGAAAATAAGTAGTATGTGCAAGACATCTCAGCGTAATACAGATGTGTTCAAATATATGAAATTACACCATTGCACAGATATCTTAATAGTGGCTCCTTGAATTCATAACTAAGGTATAGGTTGTATTTACATACTCTTGTACTCACCAGGTGAGCAAAACTGGAATGGCTATAATAGTAGACTATTAAGTCGCAAAGGTGCTTTGGGTATGAGTGAGCAAAGACATTGGGGCCAGAGAGAAGGCAAGAGATGGGGAGACTTGTGTTGCTCAGCAGCAACACAAACCCACCAATATAGGAACAGTGCTGAAGAGGTGTCCTATTTTTCGTTGGCTTGAATCTTATGGCTGCAACAAAGGGCATGAGTCCTCAGGACTGTGGTCTAGAAAAGAAACCCCCAGTGAAGAGGGGTAAAAATGAAAGTAATTTACAAATAAAAATGGAGCTAGAAGCTTAAGCTGATCAAAATTAAAGCCTCACTTTCATTACTATATGCAGAACTGGGAGCTCCACCTATAGATAACGTTGCCTAACACTTTCCATTTATAAGATCCTGTTTTCAGTGCACTGACTGAAACAGGGGTCCTGTGGAAAAAGTAGTATGTGATCATGTAATTAAAAAGTTATAATATATACACACAGGGGGATGATTTACAGTTGCACTAGCAGCTTTAATTCTGGCATTTGCTAACTTCTGAGTGCTTGTCTTTGCAACCTTATGTTCTCGTGTATTTTTATACGTAATAGAAAAAAGCTAATAAAGTGCACTCAAAAAAAAAAAAATCAAGGGAATTTTATATATTCAAGAGTGACCAGGATACCAAATTGTTTATGTTAAACATGCTTTCCGAATCACCTAGGGAAAATTTGGTTTATAGTGTGAGTTCCAAAAAGTGGTCTAGAAGCACAGAAAAATGTAATATGAATTTATAAAGTATAGTACTGACAGCTTTATTCAAAAGGTATGAAAAGTGCAACTGAGAAGTAGAATTAAAACTATTAGTAAGCAGAGTAAATAACAAAGAGTTTGTTTAAAAAGGAAATAAAAATGCAGTTCTGACAAATGAGATTTTCACCATGATTTTCATCAATCAGTCTTGTAATCAATCAAGCCAGATGGGCAGAAACCACCCTATCATTACTCAGCCTGTTACTGAAGTGAAATGTTTTCTGTCCCTTTGTAACAGCACAACACAATCAGTGACAAGGGGTGGGATGCAGCTAATTCATCAAATTCCTTTGATTAAACACAATTTCCCCTTAAAACAAGCTTCCTTTTTTATATGCTCTAGTCAATATTGCCAAATATTAACCTTACAATTTTGCCTCCCTCCTCTGTGCTTTAGGAAGGACATTAGTCTAGTGTCACAAAATAACAGTCAGCTTCCAGGTCTACAAGTCTGAACACTATGATTAGCATGAAAGAAAGCTTTAACAAAATTTTAGATTCTATATTTAGTCAGATACTGTAATAAACTATATCTAATTGCAGTTTCTCACATTAAAATGATAATCAGAAAATTAAATTGCTATTAACTGTAAAGTTATATTTATAAAAAGGAACATTGTATATTTAATTATACAGATTTTCATTTTAACGTTATAAAAAGGTTTAAGGACACAATACATAAAAATTTCCATTTTGTTTTTGTCTTAAAAATGCAGTAGCCTAATTTTAACTGGGAAATTTAACACAGACACTCCATATCAGAAATAAAATTCCTTGAAAATCATACCCAAATTTGGCAGCGATATCATAAACCTGCTTTTCATGCTGAAGAACCTTCTCTCTGTCACCCTCAAAGAGTAATGTAGCTACACACAGTTCGTTGGGATCAAATCCTTTAAACTGTGAAAAGAAAATACCTGTATCATGTTATAGTCCACATGGCAGAATCCAGGCTTGAATAAATCTACTTTTTCCCTTTTCCTTCAACTACACATAGGTACACTGTACTCAAAGTCACTTTGGGTTAGCAAGTATTCTTGTGGAATAGGAATAGGATAGTGCCTAAAGAAAACAAGTTGCACAGAATATTTCAGGTAATTTCTAGTCTATTTTCAAGCACTCTTGACATCATTCATAGAAATTTTTGCGCACCACACTAAACAACTGAAGAAGAATGCAGACATTTGATATGTTATATGACAAATTACTAAGTGGAGGTGTTTTATGCAGCACAGGAACAAGGGAATTTTATGTTCCTCTTAGAAATTCTTCCATATGAAAATTATGCCTTTAATGTTACTGCTTTCACCTCAACACCACTGGGAGGTGGCAGTGACGTGATCCCAGACAGTTTCATTCTACTGGACTTGCAGAAGGCAAGCTTCTGCACTGCTAAAGGCACTTTGAATAGAGGAGCAGAGAGGAAAGATAAATCCATCCGTTTGTAGCCTTGATTCTCCAAGCAGTTAGAAGGGAATGTGTGTGCCCTTCTGTTTCCACTTAGTATTACTCTACAAAAATGCTAAAGAAAAGCAACCAGAAGCATGAGTCACTATGCTGGTCAAGCATTGTTGCCAGAAGCATCATCATTCGTACAGTCCTGGACCAGGGAAGGCACTATAAGGAAAGGAGAGAAATAAACAAGGAAGAAGAATTTAAAAAGTGGGGGAGGAGTATACCACAAGTGCAAAAGCGGTAGGGGAAGAAACTTCATTAAGTGGTTTGATGGTATCTCGGTCTGGAAGTGCATTTAGTCTCTTGTTCCAAGAACGGGAATCTGGAGCTTTGGTAGGCACCAGGTCAAAGGTCACTGAAGATATTCCAAGAGATGGACAGGCTTATATATTGCTCTTTAATAGTCACTGAAAGAGTATTCATTGGCTCCTGAAAGCTTTCACCAAGTAGAAAATCTTAGGAAAGGAAGTGAGGAAGAATATAAAATAGGAGGAGGTTGCAGAAGGCCCTTCCTATTGTCCAAGTGGAAAGGGTGAAAGAAATGGGTACCGACTAAGAAATGCGTCGTATAAGGGGAGAGAGCTAAGCACACAAACAGAAATAAAAGGGGAATGAAAAGAGGTACACGAAAAGAGAATAACTTTACTGTCAGGGCAGAATTGATAAAAACACAATCAAATTAATAATGGACTTTAGCTTAGGTATGCATATAAGAGATACATAAAAACACATATTACTACATACAAAAAAATACATTAATACTGTTATCTAGGTTCTAGGTGGTAAAAAAAGGCATCCAAAAGTTTGCAAATGCCAGAAGTAAAGTTACCTGTGAAGCCTTAATTAAGTTCTCATGTGCTTGCATTAGGATACACTAATTACATGATCATTACTATTTTTTCCACAGCACGCTGCCTCGTTCACTGCACAAAATGAACAGTGCTCACTGAATAAGCGGCTATTCAATATTTTGTTTTATGCTAATCATTCAATGTGTGGCCTTATTTACTTCACACTGATCAAACCCTTCTCTGGATACAGGATTACTAATTTCTTTATGGACTTTTCTACGGTGCTCACTGTAGCATCTGAATGTGTCACAAACATTAATTTATTTTCACAACATAGCTATGATGCAAGTTATATAGATGGGAAACAGACAGACATTTGTGACAGATTTATACTAATGCAAGAAGTACGGGGAATAAGCAGGAAGAACTCGAAATGCTAGTAAATAAACACAACAATGACATAGTTGGCATCACAGAAACTTGGTGGGATAATATGCATGACTGGAATATTGCTATAGAAGGGTATCGCTTGCTCAGGAAGGACAGGCAGGGGAAAAAAGGTGGCGTTGTCTTATATATTAAAAATGTATACACTTGGATGGAGGTTCAGATGGAAATAGGAGACAGCCTTTGTTGAAAGACTCTGGGCAAAGATAAAAGGGATAAAAAACAAGGGTCATGTCATGGTAGGTGTCTACTACAGACCACCTAACCAGGAAGAAGAGGAGGTTGAGGCTTTTTTTTAAAAGTAACTAACAAAAATCATCCAAAGCACAGGACTTGGTGGTAATGGGGGACTTCAACTACCCAGACATCTGTTGGGAAAACAACACAGCAGGGCACAACAAATCCAACAAGTTCTTAGAATGTATTGGAGACAGTTTTTTATTTCAAAAGGTGGAGAAAGCTACTATGGGACAGGCTGTTCTAGATTTGATTTTGACAAATAGGGAGGAACTGGTTGAGATTTTGAAAGTGGAAGGCACCCACTTTTTGGGTGAAAGTGATCATGAAATGGTAGAGTTCATGATTTTAAGGAATGGTAGGAGGGAGAACAGCAAAATAAAGACAATGGATTTCAAGAAGGCGGACTTTAGCAAACTCAAGGAGTTTGGTAGGTAAGATCCTATGGGAAGCAAGTCTAAGGGGAAAAAGAATTGAAGACAGTTGGCAATTTTTCAGAGACATTATTAAGGGCACAAGAGGAAACTATCCTACTG